CACACTGAAAGGGGGAGGGGAAATCATGCGTCTATTTATAGGCGCGTGAAACCGCTAGGTAGACGGCACCTATTTAACCAGGCACGACACAACGAATCGCTCAGTAGTGAAAATGTTTGTCCTGCTGTCAAGTCCTTCCGATATCTTTGATTTAACCGCCGAGCAGTTACAGTTTATTCCGAAAACCGTTCTGTTACGAGTGTGTGGCGATTACGTCCACTACGTGTGGGATAAGCTTCCGGAACATATAAAGGCGGATTCGGAGGTTCAAACTTATCGACGCTGTTGCGCACATTACAATCAACCGTGGCAGCGGACGCACATCGACGGTCCCGCGCCAATGATCAAGGATTGCTACGAATGTCAGTTGACGCAACAGCGGTGAAACGTGGCGGCAGTCTGTTGAATCGTGCAATAAACGCGCTTCCTTTCGAGCTGCATATCCCTGGTTATCAGTTTTGCGGCCCGGGCACTCGTCTGGAAGAACGATTGGCGAGAGGAGATCGAAGGATAAATCTATTGGACGCGGCGTGCCGCGAACACGACATTGCGTATTCCCGCAGTAAAGAACTCGCCGAGAGACACGTGGCGGACAAGATACTCGCCGGGAGAGCACGGAAACGCATTACCGCTAGAGATTCAACGCTTGGAGAGAAAGCTGCTGCTACAGTTGTTTGGGCGGCTGTGAAAGCAAAGACAAAGATTGGTATGGGTTTGAAAACAAAGAAGAAGAAGAAAAGAGCGACAAAGAAGCGGATTCTTCCGGTATCGAAACGCGGTGGTTTATTGCCAATTCTACCGATGCTGGGCGTGCTAGGATCCATGATTGGCGGAGCAGCCAGTGTGGCGAAGGCGGTGAACGATGCCAAAGCTGCGCAACGTCAGCTCGAGGAGCTGCAACATCACAATCGCGCGATGGAAGGTCGCGGAGTGTATCTCGCTCCATACAAACGTGGACGAGGTGTAACGAAACAGGGAAGGAAAAAAAACGTCAAAAAACATTAAAAATGCCTACGGGTGTAACGACGAACGTGCAATTGGACCAACTGGCAAGACGAATGCGTATACGACACTTTAGAGGTGTCTTTATGCGAATTGCATTACCGATAAGCGGCGTACATCGAAACGAGAGCGGTATCGTCAATCTGGACAACGCGACAGATCCCGGCACTCACTGGGTAGCGTACGCGAAGAGGGGAAACCGTGTGATATATTTCAATAGTTTTGATAATCTCCGACCGCCTAAAGAACTGGTGTGGTATTTCGGGGATGGTGTGACGATAGAGTACAATCGAACGTCCCATCAGACCTACGATCAGAGCATCTGCGGACAGCTGAGTCTACGGTTTCTCCAAACGATTGACGACAGATTCACACAGATTTAAAGTCTGGCGAGACGTCGCGAGGATTCAGTACATGCTGAGCGGTATTTCATCCACCATGTCGCTGACACTCACGCTGACCGGGAGGAGTGGAGTCCTCGCAGTAAACTACTTTCCAACCATAGACCTGAGCGATGGCGACTACGAGCTCGGTTTAATGAATTTTTCGACTTACAACACGATATCGAACGTGAATGCCTCGAATAATAAATTTTACTTTGGCAAAGATGACACGGAAATTATGATTCCCGAAGGATCCTACGAACTGCAAGCGATAAATGAGTTTTTGAAGCGTGCACTTTCACGAAAACGTCTATGTCGGTTCATAGCTAATGACGACGGTGAAAAACGCAGTGACGACGACGACGATGGCGATGACAATGAATACCCGATTGTGCTGCGCGCTAATTACAACACGATGAGGAGCGAGATCAAATGCGCTTTCGGAATAAACTTTAGCAAGCCCAACAACATTGGATCGCTTCTGGGATTCTCATCGACGCGTATACTGCAACCGCGAAAGTGGCATGAATCAGACTTGCCGATCAACATTACCAACGTGAACATTATCCGCGTAGAGTGCAACGTGACCGCGGGTGCGTACAGCAACAGCAAGCCCGTACACACGATACATGAATTTTCACCGAGCGTGCCACCGGGATATAAGATATCGGAAACGCCGACGCAGATCATTTACTTGCCAGTCATCGCACGGAGCATTACTGATTTAACGATACGCGTTGCGGACCAGAACGGTCGATTGCTCGACTTTCGCGGAGAAGAGATCACCGATAGATTGCACATTCGTCGGAGACGACGATAACGCGTGCGAATGTACATGAGATGCTCGTACTGAACGGATCGGAGCAGATCGTGAGACCAGTGGCGTCAACTTTCGATAATATCAAGTCGTCCGATTGCAGTAGGAAAAAGAAGCTCAGCGCGGCGAACGTGGAATTTTTAAAATCATTGGGATTCGCGGTGCGCAAACAATGATTGACATACTCAACATCGGGGAGGAGCCAGTCTTCGACGATCGCATCGTCAAGATTGAAACTCACTCGTACAATCCGTTTGCCAACACGACATTTGGACACAGCGATGAGATAAGAATACCTATACAACAACAGGATCTCTATACGTTGCCGCATGAAAGTGTACATCGAGGGAAAACTAACTACTGCCCAACAAATCCCTGAGTCCGATGTTGTACTGGGAAATAATTGCGTCGCTTTCATGTTCGATGAGATCCGATATGAACTTGACGGCGTGGAGATTGATCGTACCAGAAACGTTGGAATAACCAGCACGCTACAAAACTACGTCTCGGCATCAGTCGATAAAATGGCGACTCTGAAGAATGCTGGCTGGGATGTGGCGTTCAATGGGAAGGGAGATTTCAATTTTTGCGTACCGCTCAACATGCTATTGGGATTCTGTGAAGATTACAAACGCGTGGTAATAACGCTCGTCACGAATTGATTTTAATACGATCGCGCAACGACACCAATTGTCTGTTTGGAGCTGTAACACTGGAGCCACAGCTTGAAATATTCAAGATACAGTGGCGAATGCCGCACGTGTTGTTAAACGAGGTAAACAAGCTATCGATTCTGCGTACTTTGGAAAGTGGACGATACCTCAATATGGGTTTTCGTTCATGGGATCTCCATGAGTTTCCGCTATTGCAGCAGACGACTAAACATTCGTGGGCTATTAAAACAGCTACTCAGCTCGAGAAGCCGCGATATGTTATCTTCGTTCTGCAAACAGGTCGGAAGAATATAATGTCTGAGAATGCGTGTAAATTCAGTCATTGTAAATTGAGCAACGTAAAACTCTATCTGAACTCGAACTGTTATCCATACGATATGAATCTGGATTTCGATAAAAACAAAATGATCGAATCTGTATGATGCGTTTTTACGATTCCGGAAGAGCTATTTCGGAAACGATGATCTTGCGCCAGGTCTCACTGTCTACAAATTTCTAGAATATGGTCCGTTTGTGATCATCGATTGTTCTCGACAAAACGAATCGGTCAAGAGCGCGACCGTAGAGGTGAGATTGGAATTTGAGTGTAAGGAGAACGTGCCGACGAACACCACTGCATACTGTCTCATCATACACGATCGCGTGGTTCAGTATAACCCGTTGCCCAATGTCGTGCGCAAAATCACCTAGGTATTACATTTTGGACACAGTGGTTTCCCCCTCTTTCCCATACAGTTTAGAGGGGATGAAACGATTTAAAATCTACGAGGTACGTCCAGAAAGTAAGGTTACAAGAGCTCTGTAGGACGTAGGGAATTTTTTCCCCAAAGTTAGCACATCTGGCGTGTAGAGCAATTCCTAACGAACAAAACAAGCGGTCCGGCCCTTCAGTACGTTGCGAAATGTCGTCACAACAACCAAAACCGTCAACGAGTTCGTCGGCCGTTTGCTCCACCTACT